GTGTTGGCACATTTGCAAAAAGTTGTTGGAGTTGAATTGGATCAACTTGGAGAAGAGAAAAAAGTGTTTTAGTGCACTCCGAACTATAGGATGATTCTTGGATTGGACTTCTGCATTGATCCATTGTGCTTTAGATCAAATATGCAAGTGGGATGTGTAGCCCTCTGAATAAGCTTTCCAAAATGTCCAAGATCATTGCAATCGGACTTCGGAGCTAAGAGTTATAGCTGTTTTAGCGATGAAACGTCTGTGACCAGACTCTACGACCAGACGCGTCTGATCAGTGTCAGTGAGTCCAGTCAAGAGTCCGATCAGTGTTTTTAACGCGAGCAGGAGCAACCGGGCACTAGGAGAGTCTGGTCAGTGATGACCTGACGCATCCGATCATCAAAAGAGCTCTCTGGAACCTCTCTGGAAGTGACCAAACTCTGGGAAAGTCAAGTCCGGTCGTGGGTGAAAGGGGAGTCATGTCAAGAGCAGAACAGAGGGCGCGCAGCGAGCTATTCTGACCGGACTCTGCACCTGTACGTCCGGTCACTGCAGCAGCGAGTCCGGTGAAGGGGGTAACGGCTATTTTAGCCCTTGGGGCTATAAAAGTAGTGTGCGGCTGGCCTTGGCACATGCTTGGCACTCTTGGGACTTAGTGTCGATGCTTGGGGAGTGCTAGGAGAGCCTCTAACTCACTTGTGCTTGCAACAGTGCAAATCGATTGCTAGTGAGTGTTTCTAGTGCGATTGCATTGTGAGATTGCATCGAGTGGCACTAGGTGTTCGAGTTACAAGCCGGTGGTGCTTGTTACTCTTGGAGATTGCCACCTCCTAGATGGCTTGGTGGCAAGTTCTCTGTTGTGAAGCACGCAAGAAGATTGTGCGGTGCTCCGAAGAAGGATTTGTGAGGGGTACCGTGCTCACCTCATGGGAGCAGCGAAGAGCAACACTAGTAGAGCGTGTCATTGAGCTACCCTCACTTGTGGGTAGGTTCTTGTGGCGCCCAACATGTGGGCTTGGCGAGTGATGCCAATTAGCCGTCAAACCACTAAGTGAGCGGTCGACACAACGAGGACTAGCTTGGTGGCAACCAAGTGAACCTCAGGATAAAAATCACCGTGTCAACCTTGTTCATCCCGTTGGGTTACAATCCCCCAACATAAGCTTGCATTTATTCATTCATATATTGTGCTTGTATTGTTATAGTTGCTCTTGTAACTAGTTGTGCTTGTGTAGTTTGCTAGTTACCTTCTTGCTTGTGTAGCATAGAAGTAGCCCCCTTGTGTAACTAGTTTACTTTTGTAGTAAATTAGTTGCCTTATTTAGTTTGTGTAGCTAAGTAAATTGAGCTCTCTAATTTGGCTTGTGTAGCCTTGTTATTGAGTATTGCTAGTGAGATTAGGAGCTATGTGCTTTTGCTTACTAGTTTGTGTAGGAGCTCCCCGGGTGCTTAAAATACTAGTTGCATAGGTTTATGTGACCTTACTCCTACAATTGGTTAGATGAGCTCTAGCTAGCCCGACACCATTGTTGCCTAATTAGTATCTTTTTAATGTGCTTGTGAATTTAGATAGAGGGGTGTAGTCTTGGCTAAACGAATAGTTCTAATTTCACATTTATTTCGATTAGCCGACACGTTTATTTTTAAAATGACTATTCACCCCTCTAGTCATCTCGACCCTACAACGAGTTCTCGGTTTCTTAGAGTCGATTGGCCAGGCCATCAATCATTATGACCCACCATTTGCATATTATATGTCTGAGATATTCCCCTGGTATGATCTTGTTTAGAACCGCTTGGATATGTCCCGCATGTACTGCTTTGTCCAGAAGAACGCTTATTAGAGCATCTGCCATTGGATTGAATAGTAGAGGAGATAAGGATGAAAACGGAACCGCATTGTTTTCTATATTTAATCCGATTGAATCCGTATTTTTTTTGTCCGACTTTACTGTTTTCGTTTTCGCATTTGAGATGTTTCGTATTTCAAATGTAAAAGTAGAAAACGGTTTACACATTTTTCGACCGTTTTCTACTTTTCTACTTTTAATTTGAAATATTCCGAATTCAAAATTCGGTTTAAACCGAATTTAGCCAACTGCAAAGGTCATACAGCCCAATTACAGGCTGCTCACCACGCAGCTGCGTTCTTTCTATTGGTGGCTAGCTGCCCTCTCTTATAGACGGCGCCCAGCCTCATCTCTATTATTATGTATTTGGTCGTGCACTTGTTTAATGCTATGCACTTGTTAGTTGTGAACTTGTTATATATTTGGTCGTGCACTTGTTTAATGCTATGCACTGTGGGTCGGTATTTCGTATTGAATTTTCGCATACCGACCGTGTTCGACATAATTCCGCTCGAATTGGTTCGTTTCCGAAATTCTAGATATTCCGTAAGTTCGTGTTCGTTTTCGTGTCCGGCTTGTCCGCTTTCGCTTTCGCTTTTGTATTTCAAATGTAAAAGTAGAAAACGGTGGAGGAGTTTTTCGACCGAGTTTGACCGTTTTCATCCTTAAGAGGAGATAGGGGTCTCCTTGTCTAAGTCCTCTGTGAGTGATAAAGTGTAGACCCATTTCCCTGTTAACACTGATACACACCTTTTCACTATGATTTTTTTGCATCAAGCAGTGAATCCAAAGATCTCAAAACCCTTTCCCTCTCATGACTTGTTCTAAGAAAGACAAGCTAACGCTATCATATGCTTTCTCGAGTCAATCCAGAGAATTAAGCCTTGCTCTTTTGATTTTCTTAGTTCGTGTAGAACTTCATGTAAGGCTAGAACAACTTCAAGAATGTTTCTTCCTTTGATAAACCATGTCTAACTTCTTCCTTAGCGACAGCTGACCGGAGTCAATCTATTGGTAAGGGTTTTTATAAAACACTTGTAGTCCACATGGAGAAGGCATATCAATCTATACTGCTTAATATTATTAGCTTTACTTGTCTTAGGAACCAAAGTGTTCACCCCGAAGTTCAGGGTTTTAATATCTAACCTCCCATTTTTAAAGAAAGATGCTCCAATAATCTCTAACCCTCTTCCACTGAGGAAGGCCTTCTGATGTAAAATTTGTCTAACTTAGAGACTCGCATTCTGAGGCCAGAACAGAAGGTAATGTATTTGATAGCCTCATCTCACAAGCCGTGTTTGGGCCAAACAAATATATATCTATCTCTCTTACAAAGCAATTCTCTACTTAAGTTATATCCGAACATGCACGACATCCACATGATCTCTCACTGACTATCCACATCATCTCTCACTAATAGCCATGTCACTAACTATTCACATAATCAATCACTAATAGTCTTGTCATTCGACTAACTTCCAACATCTTAACATAAACTATCCACATCATCTTCACTAAGCGCAATGACTATATATAAGAAATATAGAAGACATCCATATATTGCTATTTGTTTTGTTTTGTCATCTTATAATTTGATCTAATTCTATTAGTTCTTTATTATTGAATTATTTTATTGCCTTGCCCAATTTTAATAGGAACGAATGCAAGACATCTAGGTTTAACTACATACAATGATTTTATCTCTATGAAAGACTCGCAGAAACAAGCGAAATATCTTTCTAGTTCTTATGGAAGTCCATTACATGACTCATAGTTTCCGGTTTCCCTCTTACTTCAGCTTCTGACTACGAGGACGTTATAATGCTCTTCTTCTCCTTCCATGAGCAAAGCGGTGGAAAATTATGTATCGCATCCTGTCCAAATGCCACTTTAATTTGACCCGACCTTCAATTTCATGTATTTTTTTCCAGCTGAAAAGCAAACACAGCTCATGCTCACAAGTCACAAGTCACAAGTCACAACGCCTCTTGGACGCAACACCATGGTCAAGACATGGGCGCACGACACGCGCGCATACAAAAGCAGCAGGCAGTAAGTACGTGCAGCAGGAGGTAGAAAAAGAAATGTCTCGGACCCTCGGTTTGACGCATCTCTCTCCTGCTTTCGTAGTGCCTGCTGACGCATCTCTGTCTCTCCTGCTTTCGTAGTGCCTGCTGCCTTGCTGTGCCGACTGCAGAAACGCAGCCAAGAACGACAAAAGATAATGTGCAATGCCAGATCTTCCCAGAGTATCTCTCTCTTTTTTTACCTCGTCTCACAGTCCCACCCCCAGCTCCGGTGCATGCGTGCTGCATGCCATTGCCATCCATCATCACAGAGTAAATCTAAACCAATTATCAGCATGCTCCACGTATGCCATGAGAACACAAGTACGTGCAGACATCAGAAGCAGGATCAAATGGTTCATGTTCATCGTCTCTGTTCAACTGCAGTGCGGCGTCGCTGGCCTCACTGCCCATGGCCCTTTTCGCTGGGCTTACGAGCCGTATTTTTTTTTAAGCTAACGAACATTATTTTTCTCTCTCAATAAATCAGCCAGCAGTACTTTCAGGCATGACTTATCAGCTAAACGAACATGACACATGTTCCTGTGTTCATGCTGACAAGAGAATCACTGGCGACCTGATTTAATGCGCGCATATAGCGAGTATCGAGTCGCATTTGTTTCGCTAAAATTTGGTTTATACTGATGCTTATGTTGATTTATTGTGAGAGAAAAAATATTATTTATTTTCTAAAATATCTGCTAAAGCAATGGTGAACCGGGCCAACAAGGGCTCCTTTGGATGGCGGGGTGAAAAAAGCACGTGTATTTCTACCCTACTAATGCACCAAGTTTTCTTCACTTGGTCCACTCAGAAAAACTTCTCCCGCTGAGATGGCCATCCTAAATACATCCAAAAAAATTATACACATAAAATCAATAACATCCGAATCAACCGTTCAGATCTATCCTCGATATTCTCTCTCATTACTCACGTACGATCTAATAATCAACATATTTTGTATGGTATTCCTTCTTAAAAAAAAAAAGAAATATTGACGCGAGAAAAATTGACGCACGAGAAATCGACGGCTCTTTCCACGCGGAGTCCGCCTCCGCTCGATCTCGCGGCTCCGGCACTCCACGGACGCGCGGCCATGGGCCACTCCAAGATCAGGATGCCCGTGCCGTCCCTGTTCCGCCGCCGCTCCAAGTCGCCGCCGCCGCAGATGCAGCCGCAGCAGGAAGGCAAGGTCAACGGGCCACCTGCGCCTGCGGCGACATCGGCAGAGGAGGAGATGGCGCGCGTGTTCCGCAAGTTCGACGCGAACGGCGACGGGCGGATCTCGCGGTCGGAGCTGGCGGCGCTGTTCGAGAGCCTGGTGAAGTTCAGGGAGGAGCTGACGAGGCCGCTGCAGGAGGCGATGGAGTTCATGCGAAGGGTGGAGTCGCAGCTCAACTCGCTTTCCATCTCTGGAAGATCGCTGCGCAATATCCTTTCCTCTGGTACTGAAATTGCTGCGCCTCATGCTCCTCTTACACTGATGATTTTTTTTTGGATCGGATCGGTTGTCTCCTCGTGCAGTGATGCCTTCTTGTTGAGATCTTCATGTCCTCTTGGTTGCCCATCTATCATGCCCTCTTGTTCATCTTGCTGTCCTCTTTCTTGGTTGAGCATATGTTGTTGATTTTTTGCATCTAAAAAACAGAAAAAAAAATTGATGTGGTTTCTCAGCAATTTGGCATCTATATAGTTCCCTTTTTAAGAGCATCTTGTTATACATGCTTGTTTTGAGTATGGCTACCTGCGCAGCGCAGATGAATGTCTTGTCTGTGCTTCATGTTTTAATGCGGCAGCATTCCTAATCAGGGTTTCCAAAAGAATCTTCTCCCTGCTTGCTTTTCCTGGCCATGCATCTGTGAGATTCTTCTGTCTGGCTTCCATCGATCTTTGCTTCTGCTGGAAAGGAATAGTCCTCACACATGTGCAGCAGTGCAGATTAATCTAGCACACGTGAAAGCTCTGTTTCTTTTCATACTACACTCCATCCGGCCCATTCCTTCCTTGCGTTCTGTTGTAATACTGCTGTAAAAGCAAACGATTGGAATCTATGGATCTCTACTAATTCGTGTTTCCACTGTTCGGAAATCGGAATCTATGAGCATTTTGCAGTAGTAATTCTTGTTTGCTATTTGTTTGATCCAGTGTGAATCTGATAATTTTTGCAGTGTTAGCTGGATCTCAGTAAGCTGACAATTCAGTTCGATTCAGATAATAAAGCTGTAGTAACCTGTTACTCCATGTTCCTTCTCCTTGAGGAATCCAAATCCTACATGCTTTTGTTAGCAGAACTCCACCTGGTTGAAAAAAATATTCGTCAGATGAGCTGGCGAACAAAATATTCATTAGGTGAATGAACTGGGTTATACTGTAGTTGAAATGCTGAGATGCAGTACGAATGAATTGGTTTATACATACAAATCAGAGTGGAGTTCAACATGATTCACACTTAAGATTGCAGTTCAGTTAGAAATCTGGAACTCTGTGGAATTTCCAAAGCAGGAGTATATGTTTATGTTTCCGAATGAGTAGCTTACACAGGATCGGATAGGTAGTCATGATAGTGGTAGGTTTGTACACCACCACCGACATTACATACAACATTCCTTGCCATTTATTTGTTTGTTAAGTTGCTTAGTAAAATAAGTACTGTTACTACCTCCGTTCCCTTAGTTGTTAATAGTTAGGTAGCTCATACTAACCGGTTTGGGTTGATAGTTGTTAGCTGGGTACTCCCTCCCTTATAAATTATTTATAAGTTGCTTTGACTTTTTTTTATCTATTTTACTATACATCTATAATAATATGTCTATATCAATACTCTTCTCTAATCTACTAGATCCATTTGTCTACTAGATTCGTTGCTTTTTCTTTTTCTCTTGAATTGTTGCTTCGTTTCCTGCAACAAGTTGGTAACGATTTGTCGCCTTCTTCTGTAACTTTTTGCAACTATTGCAGCTTCAGAGCTGCATATTGGATTGGACAGAGGACCAGAACAATGATGATGCCTTACTGCGGGTGGAAAACCAGGAAGCTGCCAAGTGGACTGCCAGTTGTTCCTCAGTCCTCACGTCGCCGAGTGTACTGCTGGTCAGTTCATGTACCCTTCTGTCTCTGCCTCGCTCCCATGGCTTCGGTGGAATCTACACATTTAGCTATGGCGATGTGTCGCTTTAGCTGCTGTGGAAATATTGCAATTTTTCCTATGTTGTCTTTCTAGCAAACTGCAGTGCAGACTGCATAGTGATAATTTTAGTTTTGGCAGTTTCTATAATCTGAAAATTATTAATATGGAGAGGAATGGTTATTGCCCTTTGATGCATAGGAATTATATTATATGCTTTATTAAATATATGTACCGTGCTCAAGTCATGATTTATTCTATATATTTCTCTGAAAATGAACTGATTCTTTCCATTTCATTTTTTCAATATATGACGATTGTTTTTATGTATATCCCTGAATGAAGCCGTGGCGTTAGCACGGGTACTATACTAGTAGACCTCAAAGGGAATTGTTTTCATGCACATGCCGCCCTCTCCCCACCAGGTAACTGTAGCCCCATCGGGGAGGAATTTCTGGACACCGCTTGGATGACATAGAGAGATAAATCTCGACCAACAAAAATACATTCAAACAATGATTCACTGTTAAATGTGGAATCCCATTAATCATGGATCCAACCAGCTTTTCCTCACCCTGCAACAAATCAACTAAGAAAGGCAAAATTAGTTACTAAAACCAAAATGCAACAGAAATTCTTTTCTTAGGAAAATAGAATAATGGATATTATATAACTGTAAGGTAATAACTGCGTATATATTCCTAATGGAAGAAAATAGAAAGAATGGTAACTAAAAGGACAACATAGTATACTAAGCATGCTTCACATACATGAAGAGTGAAGTTGATCCTCGAGGAAAAATAATTTGATTTCACTGAATAAGGTGTCCTGATAATTTGCCATCTAAAAGCACACTTCAGATACATTCCTTTGCAGTCAGTGTGGACCAATTTTTCTAGAGATAATTTTGTATCCTCCGCCTCAAAAGAAAACTATATATATTGCCTAAGGATATCTTGGGCTCTGTTCGCTTAAGTTTATAAGCCAGAATCAGTCTACTTTTTCAACCATAGAAACAGTGTTTATCTCTCACAACAAATTAGCCATACAAATCAGCCGCAACAGCAAAAAGTCCTACCGAGTAGAGCCTTGGTTTGCAAGCAAGAAAGAGAGATAATTGGATGAATTAGGCTGTGTTTAGTTGGACGAAATTTGGGAATTTGGATACTGTAGCACTTTTGTTTTTATTTGGTAATTAGTGTTTAATCATGGAACTAATTAGGCTCAAAACGTTCGTCTCGCGATTTCCAACCAAACTGTGCAATTAGTTTTTTTTTTCGTCTACATTTAATGCTCCATGCACGTATCGCAAGATTCGATATGATGGCTACTGTAACACTTTTTGAAAACTTTTTTGAACTAAACGTGGCCTTATTTGAGAAATTTGATAAGTTAGCTGCTCCAGTCATCGAATCCTGAGGAACAAGACTGACTGGTTCTACAAAACAGGTGATTTATAGAATGACTGTCTGCTAATACATACTGGCTAATTCTAAAAGCTAATACTGATCAGGGCAAAACAGAACAGTCTCCATTTGCGAATGCTGATACAAAACTCACAAAAAGATGGGCATATTTGGTTGTTTCTAACATTTTGTTGCTGAAAAATCGAACCGTTTCCCACCGTACTGTGCTTGTCCAACTGCTTAAGCCTGAAGCCCCAAATGAAGTGCGGAAAATGTTTCATTGTTCCCGAAGAAATTGAATATCAGAATTCAGTGTTCTGCGGTTTAAAGATCCAGCCTGACGGATTTTGATAGAACTCATTGTTCCAGTGTTGAAGCTGATATGTTCATCAGTTCATCGATCTAAATATCATGATTTCATACATAAACTGATATAAACACTTCAATCGGCCTTAAGCAAAACTGTTTTCTTTCAAGAAGACATGCACGCGCACAACAAACAACTACCGACCACACAGTACCGACTCCAAGAACTGAGCGGCAAATCTTGCACGGCAGAGTCAAAAAGTACTTGCCGCACCAGTGCAGGCTACAGCAAGCACCAGGGCTGCCCCAGGCCGGCAGGGGCAGGGCCGCCAGCCGCGCCCTGGCGGCGGGCGGATCTGCCGGCCGCCGCGCCCGCTTCCCACTTCACCGTCACGGCGTCTCTGCGTCAGTCCCTCACGGAGGAGAGGAGCTCTGGATCCCGCCGGGCGCCATGGAGATTGGAGAGGAGAAGCCGGAGGCTGGTCGCGCGGGTGCCGCTGCTTCGAGTTGGAGAAGGGTGCGCTGAAAGCCTAGCCACCATGGCAAGGCACGAGGTGGCTGGACAAGCGAGCAGATGGGGAACGGTGGCGACGACGCCTAGGCGGCGAGATCCAGCGTGCGAGCGAGCGAGAGACCGTGACCGCCGACGGGGAAAATAGATCGCGAGTCGGGAGACGATTTTTCTGTGCCCCCGGGGAACGACGAGGATGGGGCTCCAAAAGCACGCGTTTATTTGGGTCTGATCTGTATCCAAAGGAGCCCTATAAAGTACTTGTCTTTCCCGTGGTGCTGAAACCGGTAGCGCCGACCGCCGCCATGGCCGGCAAGTTCCCGTCGGACCACCTCAGCGCTGCCCTCCTCCGGGAGACGGACCCGGCCGCCGCGCTCCGCCTCTTCCTTAACCCGCCGAACGCCACGCCTTCCGCCCCATTCCGCTACTCCCTCCGCTGCTACGACCGCATCATCTCCAAGCTTGCCGCCGCGCGCCTCTTCCCCGCCATGGAGTCCATCCTCTCCGGCCTCCCACCCGCTGTCCCCTCCTCCTCCGGTACTGGGCCTCGAGAGCACCTCCCCTGCCAAGTCATCTCCGCCTACGGCCGCGCCCGCCTCCCTGCCGCCGCGCGCCGCACCTTCGCTCACCCGGCCTTCCCCGAGCCCCGCACCGCCCATGCCGTCAACACCCTCCTCACCGCCCTGCTCGCCTGCCGCTCCCCCCTGCGCGACCTCCTTGCAGTCTGCCGCGACGCCAGTATCTCACCCAACGAGTGCACCTATAACATCCTCATGCGAGCGGCGGCAGCGTCGGGCTCCCTCGAGCACGTACGCCACTTGTTCGACGAAATGCTGCTTCTGGGAGTCTCGCCAACTGTCGCCACGTTCGGCATCATGGTCGCTGCACTATGCGACGCTGACAAACTGGAACAAGCATTCGAGGTGAAGGAGGCCATGGTTAGGCGATACAACGTGTCGCCAAATGCTTCTGTCTATGCCAGTCTCATCAAGGGGCTCTGCCAGAGACGGAAGGTAGATGCCGCAATGAGGCTCAAGGATGAGATGGCCAGGAACGCAGAACTTGTGCGAGGTTCAGCTGTTTATGGTACGCTTGTACGGGCATTGTTCCAGGTAGGGCTCAAAGATGAGGTAGTTGGATTGCTGAAGGAGATGAAAGAGATGGAGATCGCGCCTCATAGGGTGGTGTTCAATGCCATGATTGCCGGTTTGTGTGAGGATGAGATAGATCCTGGTGCTGCATTGGCTGTGCTTGATGACATGCAGAAGCATGGGTGCAAGCCAGATGGGGTGAGCTATAGTACTTTGGTTGCGGGTCTGTGCAAGCTGGAGAAGTGGCGGGACGCGACTGAATTAGTCAAGGACATGCCAAGGCGGGGCTTCCCTCCGGATGTGGTGACCTACAGAATGCTCTTCGACGGGTTGTGTGCTGCTGGTGAGTTTCATGAGGCGAACAAGGTTTTGGGTGACATGCTTGTCAAGGGTTTTGCACCAAGAATGGATGGCGCAAGGAAGTTTGTTGAGGGGGTTTAGAAGGAAGGAGACGCAGTGTTGCTGGAGTCGGTGTTGTGCAGACTGGCGAAGGTGAATGCTCTGGAGTCAGGTGGATGGGAGAAAGCTGTAAGTGGTGTGTTCAATGATCGTGCAAAGTTGAGGTTAGAGAAACAGCTAGAGTCTATAAGGTTCACTTGATTACTATCTTTGTGGATTGGGTCCATAGTGATTAGTATTAGTGTCGGTATTTCGAATCACCGGCTAGTAAATTTCTAGTTTGCGTGTCTGACTCGGATGGTTGTGCTCAGAGGACACAAGGATTTATACTGGTTCGGACGGAACGTCCCTACATCTAATATGTGTTCCTTGTGTTAACGACACTTGGTTTGTAGTAGGGGTTACAAACATGCAAGAGAGGGAGAACGTCCCAAGTCTCTGGTGAAAAGAGTGAATCGGGTTGAGCTCTCTGTCTACTGTCGAGTGCCTAAACCTTCAGCCGCTCAGACGTTTTAGATGCGTGGGAATGCCACCTTTTCCCCCCACCGTAGGGCGCCTGCTTCTCCCTTTATAGATGAAGGGGAAGATGCAGGTTACATCGAAGAGAGAGACGAGGAGAGAAAGGCTTCCGGATTGCAACGTCTTCTATCTCCTTTATGCGGGTCCCGTCGGCCCCGTAGATGACAACGGGGACGGCTCCACGTCGCGGCCCTGTTCGTCACTGGCGCCGTACACGGGCGTCGTCAGCCGGTTGTGGCGCTCCATCCCGTCCCAGCGGACGGTATGGCTCGCTGACGCCCGGTGCTGTTGGCGACGTACGGAGAGTAGGTAGCACAACACCGACACGCCCGGTGCTGTTGGCGACATGCGTCCTCAGACGTGGCCCGTCGTGGCCGCGGGTTATGTCAAGATGTGCCTGCTCCCCTTCTGGCGTCAAAAGTTTGACCTTGGACTTGTACTTTTAGACCGTAGTGGTTGGGGGCGGTACGGACCTCCGTCGGGCGAGGCGGAGCCCGCGCCCTCGGGGTCGGGCGAGGCGGAGTCCGCGCCCTTGGGGTCGGACGTGACGGGGCTCTCGCCCGAGGGGTCGGGCGAGATGGAGCCCGCGCCCTTAGGGTCGGTTGACCCGGATCCCATGCCCTTGAGGTCGAGCGAGACGAAGCCC